TTTATTTTTCATCACATTTTTGTTGTATTTGTTGTGTTTTGCGGTTTTCTCGCCCCAACCAAAGCAACACCACATTTGATGTATAATAAGTTATTGTTAATAATATTTTTAATAAAAATTAATATTAATTAAATTTACATGTTTTATGCATTATTTATTTAATTATAATTTACATTTAGAGTTAGTTAGTATTTAATGAGTAATTTATTTGATAGTTTTCATTGTTGTAAAACGCTTTATAAATAGTTATGGGTTTGAGTTGTAGTTAAAAATTCAAATTTTATTTTAATTCAGTTATTTAGTTGTAGTCAAAATTAATAGTCAAATATTTATTTCGGGGCAAGTGTTTTAAAAGTGCAAAATTAATTAATCAGGGCATTTTCGGGGTTAATTAACCACAAAATTGTAACCAAGTTGACAATCAGGCGCACAAAATGCTGGAATATCTGTACCGATTTGGGGGCAAATTAGTGGCCATTCGGGTCCAATCGGGGCCACTGTTGTACTACCTATGGATGTTGGGCTTCGCGACGGGTCCGGACATTAGGCGGTCGGCCGCTGTCGTTGTTGGCCGACTGGTCCGCGCCGTGGATCTGACCGTATGTCCCGACCGACCGATGGTTGGCCTCCAGTTTGAACTGTGATAGTATGAGGTGTGGACTGTTTGGCGGCCGCTGTAATCGGGGTTGTATTGTATTGAGTTGTGTTTTTAATTCAATGTAAATTATCATGAGTGCCAATAAACATGAATTTCTATGAATTTAGTTGCAATTTATTTGTTAAAAAGTTAATATTTTAATTGTATAAAACTTTTTTTTAACACATAATTAAGTGTTTGTGTTATTTAAGCGCTAGTTTTCAATTTAAGCTATTTTCTATTCAATCATTATTTTATTTTTAAGTTATATTAATTAAAAAATTAATTTAAAAATTGATTAAATGATTAAACATTTACATAAAACAAAGTTTTTTACAAAATGTCCAAGAAATACATTTTGAGTCTTATTTTATTAGGCTTACGTAATATACACCATATGTGACTAAACTAGTTAAATAAACAAGTTTTTAAATTTGTTTTTAGCTTAATTAACATTAAATGCGCAATCTCAAATATCATATGGATGTCTGTCAAGTTACAATGTAATATGATGTAACTGTTACATCATAATAAGGCAACTAAACGTGAAAATAAAATGTGGTGAAATGAAAACAAAAATATTTGTTTTTAGTAAAATAGTTTGCATTAAGATATTTAAAAGTATTAATAATATATTTTACATTTAAAAACATACATGCATTAAATAAAAACATGATTTTTAAGTTTAATAATGGCTTCAGTGTTAGAAAAGTATGAAATTTGTGCCAAAATTCCTGATATTATTAAACAAGAAATCAAAATATTTCACGTTTTCGACGACACGAGCGGTAAAAACACAGTGTTTGTGACAACCGATGATCGGGTCTATGGGTTGGGCACTAATACTGACGGAGTGTTGGGTTTGGGACACAACCGACCCATACATACACCCGAAGAAATACTGGGATTAAGTTCACATAAAATACACCACTTTTACAATGGATGTGATTATGTATTGGCTGTGAATAGCGATCGCAACCGTGTGTTCAGTTGGGGCCGCAATGTGTGCGGACAACTGGGTAGGGATGTGCTGACCAACGGCACTGACCATCACGAACCGGGTGAAATCACCACGCTCGCATCACCTGACTTTACCATATGTCAACTGAGTTGCGGCAAACGATCAACACTAGCCCTGATCAGTGATAGCCGAGTATTTCATTGGGGTTTAGACGCCACACAAAACTCGCGCATTGATAAACCTATGGATAATTTTACGCTAAAACCGACGCAAATCGCGTTTCCCATAGGAATAACATTGGCTACCATTGTGTGCGCTAATAATAAAATGTTTGCCATAGACAGCGATGGACAGGCGTTTATGTGGGGCCAGCCCGCGATGCTGGGCCCCGGTATTAAAAGGCCCAGGGTTATGAAAAATGTGCATAATGTGTGCGATATGTGCGTGTATAGCAGTCACGTGATTTTATTAACACGCGATAAACGTATTTATAGTTATAAAACTTTTATACCTAAAAAGGATGAACTAGTTATGAAACCGATTGGCAATATTCCCATCGAGAGTATTAAACAAGTGTATACTTATACGCTAAATGACCAGGCACAAACTAGTAGCTATAAAACCACCATAATGGTTTACACCGGGGCTAAAATCTATGAACTTACCGCCAAACTGACCCTGTTGGAGACAAACTATACATCATACAATGAAATGTATATTGATAAATATCAGTTGACGTTTAACCAGGTCACTAATTGTAATTTAAATAATGTTGATGGTATTACTAAAGTACAAACTGGTAATATATTATATTTTATATGGATTAGTAAACATTTAAAATTTTATCTTAATTATGATTTAAGGTGAATTGTCTACATTAAATCACATTAAGTTCAATGAAGAGTTTAAACACCTGGCTGATCTTGGCGCTGGCTATTTTGGCACAGTATTTAAGGCACTTAATCCTAATGATCAGCAGATATACGCGATTAAAAGGTGTCGTGTTAAAAGTGGTATGGTTATTTTTGTACATGAGTACTAAATTTATAAATAATATTTAAATAGTAACTAATGTTTGTATTTATTTCTATTTAATTCATAGAGATTAAAAAGGACCAAGAGCAAAAGTTATTGTCCGAAACTAAAATCATGATTGATTTGCGCTCAGAATATGTCATTCAATACTACTATTCGTGGTTTCAATACAACTGTCTATACATTCAAATGGAGTGCTGTTTATATAATTTGATTACATTTAACAAAAATAAGCGCAAAATGTTTGGCAAACACTACAAGAGATTCAATAATTTCATATCATATGATATATTCAGACAATTAGTGGAAAGTGTGGAGTATTTGCACAAAAATAATATCATTCACAGAGACCTCAAACCCGATAACGTATTGATTCAGTCCATCGATAAGCAAACCAAACGATGCCTTAAATTATGTGACTTTGGTTTGTCTAAAGAGATGGACAAATACACCGATGCCTTCAAAATGACTGATTTAGACATTCAATTCCAGGCACCGGAGGTGAGCACCGGGTGCTATGACCACAAAATAGATGTCTATAGTCTGGCAATGATTGGAGCAGTAATTTTTGGTTTTGATCATGATGATATCAGGGACGGAGAGTAAGTGTTTATCTGTTTTATTATAACATGTTTACTATGTTTTTATAATTTTTTGTTATATTTTAAAATAATTTTCTACTTTTTACATAAGAATTACTTGCATTGAGACAAATGATGAAGAATTGGATAATATATTGTCACAAATAAATCAATTATTGCTTGAAATGAGTGTCAATACACTCTATCGTGGGATTGATTGGCGGCTAAGACCTGAATGTGAAGTAATTTTAGATAAATTAAAGCATTTGTCAATTGAATCGGTTGTCGAGAAAAATGATTTACAATTATTTAAAACAATAATTAAAAGCGATTCTGACTTTTTATGCTATAAATACCTTCAATACGAACCATATTGTGTGATCAAACAAATAATGCAAGGTATAAATAATTAGTTTTAACCCTATTCTAAAATGTACATAAAAGTTAACATGATGTTATTTAATTACATAGATGAGAGGCCGATGTATGCAATAAATGACATTGAGCTAAATGAATCAGACCAAATAGAGCATAAACAATATTACCACGAGTTTAAAGCCAAACACCGGGACACTGGGCAAACATTTGCCATGGTCAAATCATCGCTAACAGGTTAAATTGAATTAAAATTACAGAGATAACTTGCCATCATGGTACATAATTATTTTTCCATAGACTTATTCAACCAGATCGATGATTACATTGCCTATATTGAACAAGGGCAAACAAACTCACCATATCTCATTAGATGCTACAACGTGTTGTCATGCGGCGAGTGGTGAGGGCTGATAATTATGGGTATCAGGGTTCTTTTCTATTATTGTGAAATAGTATTTATTAATTAAATAAAACTTTACTTTAAATCAAAACTTATTTTATTCAAAAATATAAGAGACAAAACTTGTGGTGAAAATACAGAGTTTTTGCACAACTTGTGCCGTGAGTGGAGAGGGAGAGAGTGAGTGGTCTGAGCAGTGATACCAAAGTTCTGGGTCTCAAACCTAACCTAAGAGGTGGTCATAAAAGGGTTCCTATTCTTTGATTTTGGGCGACAATCAGTCCTAACCCTATGTATGGGCTCAACAATAGTGAAGCCATAAACTGTTTTAACTAAATGTTGTTTGAAATGAAATATCAACTAAAATATATTTCATGTTCTGACAGTGTGGCTAGAAAATGGCCACATTTTCAGCATGATGGATCGTTACACCGGTAGACTTGATAGTATACTACACGCCAAGCAATTTCTATTTGCTACCAGAAATACGCTGCCATTTATCGCCATTGACTACATTATATCGAGACATATGTTGTGGGATGTGTTACAGTGTGTACATTATGTGTATGAGTCGGGTATCAAAATGTGGCGCAAAGCCCTCGACCCGAGACACATGCACGTGGATCGGCAGGCCGTGAATGGACAATGGTTAAAATTGTATCCGGGTGCGCCCGATTATTTAGACTATATTAAGTGCGAGTACGTGCCCGTTGGGGGCGCTATTATTGCTGACATTGGTCAATTGGCGCACACCTTTTTGTTAATCTCTACCACAAGTAAATTATTAACTGCATTATTATTTTAACCATGATTACAATTAATGAGCATTTTTAATTTGTAACTATTTAGCAAGTTCATTTTGTTTAACAATTTGAGTGTGGACGTGGCAGCTATCAAGGCGTTTATCGATCTCATGAAAAATGCCCAGCATGTTCAAATGGACATCCCGAATGTGATGAGTGTATTTACCCGAGTTTTTATAAATAATGCTAATGTAAATCAGCGTTTAAATGAGCTTGATAAAACATTGTTGATTAATACGTTGAGGGCTCATATCGACACTTGCGATACCGAAGCTTGGAATGCATTTCTTAATGAATTCTTATACAATTATTTCTGTGCAAAAAATTAAAGATATATCATGATGATTAAATGATTTACTATTATTGTGATTAAAACCACAACATTAACATAGTTTAGTGTATCTATTTAATTATTAATAGTTACACAATATGGCTGTTTATTGAATTCAAGATAGTCGGATTGGCCATGGTGGTTTACTCCGCAGTTGGAGGCAAACACGTGCTTAAAATACATTAGTTTGAATTATTTATTTCAACTTTATTCCTTAATTTAAAATAATTTTAATTATTAATTAATGCAAAAATGCATTTTACTTATTTATAGTACGGTATATCAATATATAAAGTAATGCTTTAATATTAAATTAATTGTTATTACATTATTATATCGATTCTTTTGAAATAGAAATATAATTCATTACATGGCACTTTTTCAATTTAGATTATGAGTTATTTAATTATTTATGTGGAATACACACAATAATACACAACGTATTTGTTCGAATAGTAAATGAATTACGGAAAATAACATAATACAGCACAAGTTACATGATTAATAATAAATAATAATAACATAAATAATAATGCTATAAAAATATTAACAACAAAAATAATTATAACTGTAAAAACACAGTTAAAACAAAAGTATCATAATGATAATAACAGATACGTTATATCATTCATAGAGTTTGATGCAATGTAAAATTTTTATTTGAACGTCTATTATATCAATAATTAAATCAAATTTGACAATAAATATTATGCATAATTACTTAAATTGTCAAATTGTATTAAATTATATTCAATAACAGCTTAATAATTAAGATGAATGTAATTGATTTATTAAGTTTTTTAATTACTTTATGCAAACAATTATATAATAAATTAATAATTTTATATTTGTTGAAATACTATTTAATTCAATTCGTTCGCTCACTAAACATTAATTATAACATCACTTATGTTTTGATCATTAAATTAATATCAAAAATGTTTTGCTTTTGTGTGCTATCCTATGGGACCATAGAATTGACAGCAGTTTACTTCAGTTATCCCAATGTCTATAGCGTTAACGTAAAGCCGAGCAATGGTTTGATTTTACCCGAGATTACTATCTGTACGGAAAGGGATGTGTTTTTTGACAAAACAAGGATTAATAATGAATTTGGTTTAAGCTATGAATACGATATGTGGAAACATAAGGTACAAATAATTATAAAACAAATGACTGAGAAAATGTGTCATGATAGAATGTCTGATGAAAATTATCCGTTTGTTTGCAAAAATCCGTCTTTTATTAAAAAATATTATTTAAATCATTTTTATGACAAATATTTATCACAAATGTTTGCCAACTATTTGTTCAATGATTTATTTAATCGATTCTCAATTAATGGCAACGAATTGATTAACTGTTCGGCAAAAGTGGGCATAAAATACAACAATGAGTACAGAGTGTCCCATAAATGTGTCTCTAATGACGACAACACTGTTTTGCACAGTATTTACGGTACGAAAGACTTTGGCGTTTGTTTTAAGTACTTCTCAAACGACGGAAATACTAATCACTTCTCTCTCATTGACGACCATTTCGTTGAGTTTCGCATATCTTATAAAAAACAACAACACTTTCTCTTAACTGACACTCATTTGGATATGAAATATGATAATAAATACTTTCCATTAGAACCCACAATATCTACTCCCAAATCTCGATCATTTGATGAATATCTGGTATTATATGTATTCTTGGATCAAATGTCTAATGAATTGATGGCAACGAAAGGGACGGCACTTAAGATACCGAGTGTTGGCATTAATGCGAGGATTAATATATACAACACTTTTGTGAACCGATTGTCCACACCTTATATGCGATACTGTCAACAAAATATAAGTATTAATTTTGAAATAAATATTATTTATAATATGCTATGAACACTATGGTGTAATGGTATAGCTAAATCTAAGCCCCTTCTTAGACCTGTCAATACTTTCTAGCACTGCATTAGTTTATATAATGATTTTTGTAATTAAATAATTGCAAACATAATTTTGTCGGTATAAACCATCGATGCTGAGCGGGGCAATAATTAGGGCAAATGTGATTATATAGAGTGCAACTGTTCATACATAGTGTTATAGTAATAGAAAGGAAGGGGTGAATAAGATGAGTATGGATTCAATTCAAGGGCACTATATTTAGTCAATCATTATAACGTTTATAAATTATAATAATTGGCTCAAAACATTTTTTATGGTAAAAACGTATTAGATAGCATCGATGGTATAAACATTTCATTATTTTTGTTTACTTAATATGCATAAAAGTGCAAACATTTTCAGCGTGATTTAAAACAGTATTTTTATGCTGAGGCTATATTGTAATTTATTGCTGGGCACTCTTTTTTAGTATATCACAGATACAGATTCAAAGTATGCCATAAAAAGGTGGCGCAATAGTCAGTAACAAAGTTTAGGTTTATCAGTATTAAACAAGAAACACCGCGTGAAGGTCAGCCTAATAGTTTCTCACCCATTTTTATAAGTGGTTGGCTTTCAGTCTATCCACAAAACGTCATTTAAACCAAAATTTAATTATTAAATACACATTTTAATTAGATTTGTGATATTGTTTGCGATAATCAACAAGTTTAATAATATTTGACTCAATCATATTTGATGACAATATTTTCAAACGTGATCTTAATGTGTTTGCGCAAATACTACCAGTTTTGTCATGTTTAATCGATTTCATTAGGGAAAAAAATTGTTCACAATTAAAAGTAGATCCAAAATATGTTAGAATTGTAGAATATATGCATTCATTTGAATGATTAATAATTCTTAATTTACTCATTAAAATATAATTTTAATATTGAGATGACACTTGGCTTTACTACTCCAACTTACTAATAGTAAGTACAGTGCCCAGCAATATTGTAATTCATAATCAAGGGTGTAATGTAAAATATAATATACAGTACGAACCAGAATTCAGCTTACAAGAGACACGTTAGAAAGATTAAGTGATGGTAATTATAATAGCATAAATTATTATTCATCATGTATTAAGCACATGCATTTATATTTCCAATTCAAATTTTGAAACTCCTTTTTTGAAATAAATGTGTGAAAAATATTTCATTATTTTATAATTGCAAAAACTACCATGTTCTGCCTGTAAGCTGAATTCTGGTCTATAGTGTATATAATTATAAAACAGATTCGTATACCAATTGTTACTGGAATTGTGTGAACAGAGTGTTCAACGAAATACACAAATGTATACCAAATCCATATTTGGATAAAAATTATATTCTCCGGAATGCGAGACAAACAGAGTATGAATTCTGTAATAATTCTATGGTTTTCAACGAATCAAACAAAGAATACGACAAATGCAGAGATAATTGTGTTAAGGATTGTCATCAGATTTACCACACCTTAGAGTTGGATAAAACAAAGTTTATGGGACTCACAGATAGTGTTCTCACAATTCAATACAAACCGTATCAAGAATTTCATTATACAAGTGATGAGAAATATCCTATTATTAAGTATATGTCAGACATCGGGGGTCTGTTTGGGCTGTACTTAGGGGTGGCATTCATAGACACTAGTGTTTTGATTGCATTATTATTCTCTCGCATTAAACGTATATTTCTATCGCTTATAAACGAAAGGCTTATAATTGTCTCACAATTGATATACAATCGTATTAAGCAATTGCTATCACTACTGGAATCGTATAATTGGCGTAGAATTGTGTCAATCATAACAATACCAATAATTATATATCAAATTTATTCATTAACATACGATTACTTCTCATTTCTTACACAAACGACACTCAAAATGATTGAATTGATAGACATTTCAACAGATAGTATACCCAATGAGTTCATACCAGCCGTCACTCTATGTTATGAACACGTGTTTAAAGATATCATGTTCAATAAACACGTGCGAAACTATATTAAAAACAGAATACAAAATGAGCGGCATTTTGTTAATTATAAGCTAGAAAACATTAATTTTCTTACTAATACTACAATTTTATATAAAAATGATCCAATAACATGGTACTATTTTACTGGGCTAGAGGATTTACCTAGCCTAGGTATTTATAGCATATTTGCACAAATTATCCCAAATTATTGGCTGCAATATTTTATGGTAACAAATATAACAGAATTTAACACTATTGATCATAATCGCATTACTCTGTATGGTTTTGCAAATAAAACCATAATGGATTTGAAATATTTTGATAAATACATTGAGTGTAGTGTTAGCGACCATTTATGCCGTGAAGTGCGGCCACCAGTGGTCACACTCTCGCCGTTCGGTCGGTGCCAGACGTTTCTCACAGACATATCAATGGCAGACAATATAAGCGCACAATCAATGGATAACCAACGTATTGATGGCCCGGAAGTGATTGTATTTAAAGAGATCCGTAGATTAGATGGCTTTATAAATCGGTTAAATAGTTTGAGAAAACGTTTTATTATCCATTCGCCGAAAGAGTTGCCAAAACTGACGGACAGTTGGTTTGAATACAAAGATTTTGCGATAATTGACACCAATTTAAACACTCTGTCCGTTAAACTAATGCCGTATGAGTTGAGACGACTGCCGGCGCCGTACGATAGCGGACGACCCGATGAGTCCGGCGGTGGATGTCGTGTTCGGTCCGCCGGAGACACGCAATACGATTGTCTGCAGCGATGCTATCGTAAGCAATACGAGAAAATATATGGAAACACAACCACTTGTTATGCGGACAATGATTTATTGACCATTCAGTTAACGAATGGCGATAATATTGTGACGGATTCTATTGATTCATGCGAATCCATGCGATCTAATCGATCGAATGATAAATATAAATTCACTCCAAATATTTACTGCCAAACCCGATGTCCGGCCGACTGTCGGGAAACTATATATCGGACCCAAACTTTAGTACTGAGTCAATGGAAAAATGATCAACTTAATCCATTTAATTCGTTTACCACATTCGCATTCGCTGAAAACTATTATTTACAATTTATTTATGTACCAAAAACCACATTTATCAGTTTAATTGTTAATGTGGTGAATGTGGTAAATCTATGGCACGGACTTACAATCGTCGCTATTTTATACAATTTGTCGGTTTATTTGGGAAATAAATTGCGTGTGTTTTCTATCGTACGGTTCGTTCGCCGACGCGTCCAAAGGCTGACCACACGTTTCGGGCGGACAACAATTTTTGTTTCAACAAATATTCGGGTATTTTATTTTTATTGATGGTTAATTCATTCATTGACTTTATACACTTGTATATTGACTTTAAATAAAACTTATAACTAATATTAAGTTATTTTGTTAAGCGCACGATTTTATGCATAATAGCGGCGATACTTGGCTACCAATTATACGAAGTGTCGGTCGACTATTTTGCATACAAAACGGTTACCACAATTGACGTATTGGACAACTCAATGGACCCGCACTTACCGTACATAACACTTGTATATCGTGGAGATATATATGGGAACGTTAAACGCCACGAGTGTATACCTGCGCCTGAATGTCGGCCAAACACTACCGATTGTTCGCTGTTTAGCTATCGTAATATCGACGCGTGCGGTCACACCCGGGTAGAGATGGGCGAGCAGTGGCCGGGCGTTGATATTCAATCGTTGAGACGACTCATGACATACTTACATTTGGACAATCGTTTAACATTAGTTACCATACTATTTGATAAGCAACCTATCGGTCAGCGCACTTATCGACGCCACCCGAACGGTGGCCAACAGTTTGCGGCGATTCGTCGCCCGACTGAAGTGGTCGGCCATGAGTTGATCAATGCGTTGCTTCACTACCAATCGGTGGCCGATTTTGGTCGCCTTTTGTACGCCGAGAACCTGTTCCCGGACTACGCCAACCATACGCTGGCCGTCACCAAAACAATGCGCCGACTGTTGCCCTCTCCGTACGGCCGGTGCAGTGATTACGGCTCAGACCCGTCGACCGGTGCCGAAGGGGACGGCAGTGGACAACCGTTTCGCGCGATCTCTCACTACCATTGTATGCGAAAGTGTCGATTGCATTACTCTAGTAATCACGTGATCGATAAATATTGCGGTATTTATGGAATCGACAATAGTTTACATGAATTAGATTTCAACTCAAACTTAATTAACAACGATTGCATTACTAACCAAACAATAGAACATTTTATTTGGAAACTCACTGTCCACACAATTAAACATGTGAGTATTTAAAAAACACAATTTTTAGCCCGAACACAATTGCCTTTAACTCTACAAACATGAAATCTCTATAAACCTGGGCGCCTCTCACCCTGTTCATAATGGGACGTAATTAATGTCTCACTTTGATCATTTTAACATATTAATCATTGTAAATATTAAACTAGTGTATAAATAACATTACCAAATTTTACACCAGATTTACTCCTAGAGACAATGAGATATAAATATACAGCACTATGCACATGTGATCAATTGAGCGATATCAATAGACCAACCGTTTATTTTTAACCACAATTCATATATGAAGAATGTGGTTTATAAGATCGTGATGCTATATCTATTCTTTGAGAATCACCCGAATTGTGGTTAACGTATAACATCGCTGTGAGAACCTTGTTTTAAATTATATATATTAAAGTATAAAGTCATTTATCTTTATCCTTGAGTAACGCTAACAGACGTGTTTGTAAGCAAATATCTTAAACAATATATTTTAATATCTATGAAATCAACCAAAACGCATCCAAACGGTTGCCTTAAATATAAATTAAAAACGTAACATTATGTTATTGGATATTGTTATTTTACATATAATTCAACATTATTTTGGCTATGGCTTTTACTATGTTAAATAACATATTGTTGGTTTTTAATTTATATCGTTCAATTGAATTGTTGGAATTTATAGATAAACATTATTTTATAGTACTACATGTATGGCCCATATAGTATAAGATATACTATGCAATACCAAAAATAATGTTTAATTATGAATTCAGACAATTTAATTGTTGCCCACATTTTAAACTCTTTTCCATTATATAGACTAAATCGTCGGTAAAGTGTCAGTCGTATTGTCCGCCCGATTGTCTGGCAATAGATTATTGCTCGCGTGTTGTCAACCATAACAAGGATTACATAAAGAAACAGTGGTTTAGACGCGACGGACAGGAGGACTGGTATTCATCTGAACGACTGGTTTGGGACTCAACTCAACCCATGTATGTCTATAAAGATGAGCCCATTATGTCATTCCCGGCGTACATGTCATACATCGGCGGACTCTTTGGCCTCTGGTTTGGCACTAATGGCCAGCAATTGATTGTCGCCGTAATTGACAGCCGATTATGGCTTTGGTTGAGGCAATCATTTGTCGACCGCTTTTCCCGTCATAACAGAATTCAAACCATTAATACTATTTCACTGCGATTTCATCAGTAATTTTCACAAAATGTTAGTATTATAATTTTAAAATACATTTATATTTATTATAATTATTTACAATTATATTGTCGCTATTATTATTGTACCACTTTCTGTTTGCTCTTGAGAGCTATATTTCTATTGTCTATATATTTTATCAATGTGTGCTTGTATCTTATGTACTTTAAAATATTGACCACAATTATGTATTTATCAAGAATTAATCAAGGTTGGATTCGTATTTGTCGTCGTCGTATAACTCGTTTAAAAATAGGTTTTGAAGTAATATTGATGTTAATATTTGTAACAATATTATTATTACAAATATAACCAAGCATTATTGAACACACAATTTTAATTTTATAGCCCATATAATTAACATTGATTTTGGCGCACATTTCACGTAAGCTATTCGTAAACATAATGATAGAGAATCCAAACCATAGACTAATAACACTCGCCGTTAGACTAATGTATTCTTCGGCAGACATTTTCAGTGATATCTCGTATACAGTCGTCGGCTCTGAAGGCGTCGATATCTTAATATTCGTTTCATTAATATTAGGATCACTTAATTTTTCCACAAATTTTTCAACCGTGTAAAAATGTTTTACGCATTCAATCATAGCATCGCATTGTTTGAGGCAGTTAAAATAAATTGGACCATTGATTACATCAAAGTGATTTTTGTCCGATTCATTGCCGATATTATAATATAACATATATTTGGGAAATATTGATGGGTTTATACGTGAGTATTTCCGGCGTACGCACCGATAGACACACACGTGCTGAGTGGTGCCACTGAGACACCCAACTCCTCGTACGCTATTTTCAGTATATTTGACCACGGTGTGTTTGTATTTTATATAGTTCATTGTACTACTAACGACCACCATGTTAACATAGCCATTGTCTTTAGCACCGTACATTAATGGCGTGTAAATTGTTTGCCCGATATGATGTACAAATAAATGCACCCGTCTATTGCTGTGCGAATCAACCATGGTTATATTGTAGAGTATATCGCTGGGCATGTTGATTTTATAGTTTTTCACTTTTTGTGAATACACGTAAAGATAAGGTAATATTCTAACGCAGGTCTCGTTACCGGAAATTGCTTGCACCATGGTACAATTATTAAGTAGAAAACCACGCTTTGACATATAGGTACAATTATTTTTTGTTAGTAAGCTGAATTGGTCACTTATTGATAGATCATTGAAGATGGTCATATTTACTTTATTATTTTCAATATTTATTACCAATTGTTTATCCATACATATAGTGACTGCTGTGTCGAGTGTTTGCACACGATTTGACTCGTATATGACATTAGTTGTGGTTTTCTACTTAATAATTGTACCATGGTGCAAGCAATTTCCGGTAACGAGACCTGCGTTAGAATATTACCTTATCTTTACGTGTATTCACAAAAAGTGAAAAACTATAAAATCAACATGCCCAGCGATATACTCTACAATATAACCATGGTTGATTCGCACAGCAATAGACGGGTGCATTTATTTGTACATCATATCGGGCAAACAATTTACACGCCATTAATGTACGGTGCTAAAGACAATGGCTATGNGGTCTAAGGCTTTGCGCCATATTTTCATACCCGACTCATACACATAGTGTACACACTGTAACACATCCCACAACATATGTCTCGATATAATGTAGTCAATGGCGATAAATGGCAGCGTATTTCTGGTGGCGAATAGAAATTGTTTGGCGTGTAGTATACTATCAAGTCTACCGATGTAACGATCCATCGAGCAAGGTTCTTTCGAGAATGTGTATTTCGAGCAAGTGGGTTTCGAGCAAATATCATGAACCCACGCATAATTGCCCTTTAATATTCCCTTCCTTTAATTATTATATAAATGCAGACATTATTACTGAACAGCCCTAACACACACCACACAATAATTTGGATAGTTACAATGATCCCATAGTAACGACTTAGTAATATAATTATGCAATACTAATATCATGTTGTGGTCAATATTTTAAAATACATAAGATATATGTCTGAGGTCTGGCGTAATTGACTAAAAGCACTGCCTTAAAAAAGTAGTGTTTAAAGTTTGTCGCTTCACATCACTGTGAGTTCGCGTCCCTTAGGGGAAGCTTTATTGGGCGCGAATTCAAACATGTGAACATGTTCATACATGTAGACCGATGGCGTAGGGTAGTCGGCATGCCCTCGT